TTCTAGATAAATTTTTAAAAAATCATCTTGACTACTAGATAGTAAACAAAAATAATTCGTCTTCACAGTGCACAGTGTCTGCTAAATAAAAATGTCTATAGAAGTAAATGGAACATTAGAATATTTCTTGGTTATAAAATGAAAATAATTAGACCAATATAGATAAATTACAGTGATGTGATTATTTATATTTTTTTAATGATATTGAAACAAAATATATATTAGAAATAATAGAAAATAGAAATATGCGAATATAAATATTTAGTTTTTTGTCAATAAAAATATAAAAGTTACATCGAGTTTATAACCATTCACAGCTCCTTTAGTTGACCTGTATATTGAACAAAAACAACAAAATATCATATTTGTATAGTACTATACTAGATATAATAAAAAATAGAAATTTGTATACATATTTATAGATTAGAAATAATAGAAAAATATATTTGTATATCTCTATATTAGAAATAATAGAAAATAGAAATTTGTATATCTCTATATTATAAATAATAGAAAACAGAAATTTGTATATCTCTATATTGGAGGTAATAGAACATAAAAATTTCTATATTTCTATATTCTAAACAATAGAAAATATATAAATATGCAAATATGATGTTTCGGTGTAAATGCAAAAGTTACTGTGAGTCTATAATTATGCAACCCCACTCTAGTACCAAATGCAGCCGAACAATAAAAACACTTCACGCGCTGTGCCCAGAAAATCAAAATGCCTTTTGGAAGCGTAACAATACTTGCAATTAAAACCGAATAAATTTGAGAGTGCTCGAATAGAGCGACAGATAAAATAAATTAAAGAAATACATGGAACGGAGAGATTTCTACCTGGAAGAACAGCATGAACGGTACCCACTGATAGTAGGAGTGGTACTTCTTCTCTCCGACGTCGGGTCCGAGGCCGGGATGGGCCACGTGGGTACCGACGGGCTTCGCTTGGTTCTCGGGCAGCGAGAACGTGTACGTGATCCAGCAGTACGTGTTTATCACGTTCTCCGGCACCCCTACGTCGCTCAGACAGTTTATCGGATCGCCTGTAACCAACGGCCAGGAGTGAGACCGAGAGATTATACTACTCTGCGAGCCGTAGCCACCACCGTACACCGCGCGGTTGGAACGAATTCTCGAGTGTCATCCAGACGTTTTCACCTTAAACGAACGCGGACGAGTGGAATTTAGCGGATGAACAACTCCGGCTGAACGTACGGGGTCGTCGAATGTTATCGCGGAACTTTGCACTCGCCGGTTCTTCTCGGAGAGCGAGAGAGAGAGAGAGAGACAGACAGAGAGAAAGAGAGAGACACAGAGAGAAAGAGAGAGAGAGAGAGAGACACAGAGAGAAAGAGAGAGAGAGAGAGAGACACAGAGAGAAAGAGAGAGAGAGAGAGAGAGAGACAGAGAGAAAGAGAGAGACATAGAGAGAAAGAGACACAGAGAGAAAGAGCGAGAGACAGAGAGACAGAGAGAAAGAGAGAGACACAGAGAGAAAGAGAGAGGAAGAGAGACAGAGAGAAAAAGGGAGACACAGAGAGAAAGAGAGAGAGAGGGACACACACACACACAGAGAGAGAGAGAGAGAGAGAGAGAGAGAGAGAGAAGGAACAGTTAACTGATTCTAAGTCATCGCGACTCACAGCGGTACAATTTGACCTCGTTAGACAACGGCTTTATCGGATCGATTACGGGCACAATTACGCGACTAATTATGCAACCGATCGGATGAAGGATTACATACTCGCGAAGCTGCGGGACACGTGTCCCGATCTGCGATAAATATTTCACCCTACTGTTCCGAACTTTTTGACTGGAACGCAACGTTTAACGAAATAGAATTTGTGATATAAAAAAAAAATTATATATTATAATATAAATGATATTTATAATATTTAATTAGATAATGATCTCCGAAGATGTCCCTGGCAACAATCAGCAATAGACAAATACTACTATAGAAGTATTGCTAGATTTTTACAGGATTATAAAGTGGTTGTATCAAGAAATGTATAGTATACTTAAAATATCTTTGCTACCTTCGCTATGACTTTCATATGATATTGAATAAGAAAAATTATTAACCAGTATCCTCAACAAGAAAATTTAAACAGCTTCCTTAAATTCTTTTCTGCCATCAATGCTAAGAGATATTTCAATGGAGCAAGTTATGTTATTCACCCTGTATAATATGAAACTTTGGAGTCTAAGATTTGAGATGCATTCTACATTTTTTCCCTGAAAAATATAATACAATTTATAATATATATAATAATATAATTTATTTCAGTGAGAATCAATGATAATTTCAGGTAAAGTGCAGCTAGTCATGAACGTCTGTATAATAGAACAGTCACTAGAGTATAGTGGTATATGAAATCCTTACTATTCTGTATAATAAATAGCCATGCATATGGATCACCTGTTAGATTCACCTATCTACATGTGAAAGGTGTTTGACTAGCAACGAACGAGACATCAGAGGTACGGATAATTGGGGTTCTATCTGTACCTTGAGTACATTACATGTAGATTAGCGTGTACATATGTAGAAAATGTGTTCAGCGATAGTCTCGCCGTCGAACCAGTTGATTGACGTTGTTAAAGAAGTCCTACTTAATTACCTGATTAGATAGCAACCCAAGAAGAGTCTAGAGGGCTCAGCTCATATCTCCAATGGATAATGAGTTCCGAGAGGGATCTACTTATGGCTTATCTGACATAACTAATTGTTTTATATCAAGCAGTCTAGATAATTGTTGAAAAATGACCTCTGTGAAGTCGCTGTTAGGTTCAAATTATCCAGTCAATATAACTGAAATCTGAATAACTCAAGCTCACCCAACATAACAAAGCTCTAGCTGAACATGTACTTAAATAGCAATCTGAGAAGTTCTAAAATGATTTACTTGACTTAAAAATAGAAAGAGACTAGTAATTGCAAATGCACTATGACAAATCTGCTAATACAATTGGAAGTGAAATAATTCAATTCACACAACTTAACAAAACTCTACCCGAACAATTACTTAAACAGCAATCTGATAAGTTCTAAAATGATTATCCTGTTCTTTCAATAGAAAAAAGACACTTTTAAAAGTTCTGTGGTGGTGAGGATCAAAATAAGTCAATAAATATAATTACAAACCCAATAATTAAACTCACAAAACACTAGTTGAACTAGTACTTAAATAGCACAACTACTTTAAAAGATAGAGAAGTCAATTACTATACCATGTTAGCAGCCCTCAGCTTTTTTTCTGCTAAACACAACTTTGGTAAATTGAAATGACATTTCTTAAGGATTTAAAGGTATATAAATCTCAAAATTTCTATTGTCGATATCAATTTTTTCATGAGAGAATTTTTACAGTTAGTGCTCCCTTCCTGAATTCCGTGCTGTCTCCCTGAATACTGTGCTCCACCCCTGAACACTGTGCCTCAAGAACTGTGCACGATAAAAATTTAATACTTAACTTTCATATTCTATAAAAGGAATTGATATAAATAATTAGTCATTTAAAAGCTCACATTAGAGATGACTGCTTTAACAAAATTTCATATTTACATTTCTCCTTTAAAAATATGACAGAGATGATTCGAGGTTATGTAAGCCTATCCCGTGGCAAGCAGGATAGTAACTAACGTATCGAGTGGAAAATAGTTCATGTTACTTTGCACACAGTAAATAAACGACTAAAATTGAAATTATAAAAACAAAAATTCAACTAAACAATCACTGTTTTGTTTTACCGGAATCTTAGTACGTTTTAACCATACAATTAACATCGTGATATCTTATTTAGAACGATTTATTTTACTGGATATGAAATAAGAAATTGAAATAATTTTTTTCGTATTTTAACAAACATCCGTCTTTTTATATGTGCAATTTTGACAAATTAATAATTATATGAATTTAAATTTAAAAAATTGATATGTGTCTTATAAGGATAATTATAAAGTTATTTCTGTTTGAAAATAATCAAAAGCCACGGTAATTGGCTACTCCACACTCCATCTATCCTAAGATCAAATAAGTATAATATATATAATAATATATATAATATATAATATAATATAATATAATATATATATATAATATAATATAATATAATATAATATATATATATATATATATAATATATAATATAATATAATATAATATAATAT